GTGATAAAGAATGCTAATATAGATATTAAATCGATATTTTTTTGAAAATAGCCTAGTATGATCAAAACCAAAAATGCTTTAAATTGCATTTTAAATTATATCTAGGTATTATAAGTGATAAAGAATGCTAATATAGATATTAAATCGATATTTTTTGAAAATAGCTTAGTATGATCAAAACCAAAAATGCTTTAAATTGCATTTTAAAACATATCTAGGTATTATAAATGATAAAGAATGCTAATATAGATATAAAATCGATATTTTTTTGAAAATAGCCTGGTATGATCAAAACCAAAAATGCTTTAAATTGCATTTTAAAACATATCTAGGTCTTATAAATGATAAAGAATGCTAATATAGATATTAAATCGATATTTTTTTTTGAACAAAGTCTACTATGATCCAAAACCAAAAATGCTTTAAATTGCATTTTAAATTATATTTAGGTATTTTAAATGATAAAGAATGCTAATATAGATATAAAATCAATTTTTTTTTGAAAATAGCCTACTATGATTAAAACCAAAAATGCTTTAAATTGCATTTTAAAACATATCTAGGTATTATAAATGATAAAGAATGCTAATATAGATATTAAATCAATTTTTTTTTGAAAATAGCCTGCTATGATCCAAACAAAAAATGCTTTAAATTGTATTTTAAAACATATCTAGGTATTATAAATGATAAATAATGCTAATATAGATATAAAACCAATTTTTTTGAAAATAGCCTACTATGATCCAAAACCAAAAATGCTTTAAATTGCATTTTAAATTATATCTAGGTATTATAAGTGATAAAGAATGCTAATATAGATATTAAATCGATATTTTTTTGAAAATAGCCTAGTATGATCAAAACCAAAAATGCTTTAAATTGCATTTTAAATTATATCTAGGTATTATAAGTGATAAAGAATGCTAATATAGATATTAAATCGATATTTTTTGAAAATAGCTTAGTATGATCAAAACCAAAAATGCTTTAAATTGCATTTTAAAACATATCTAGGTATTATAAATGATAAAGAATGCTAATATAGATATAAAATCGATATTTTTTTGAAAATAGCCTACTATGATCAAAACCAAAAATGCTTCAAATTGCATTTTAAAACATATCTAGGTATTATAAATGATAAAGAATGCTAATATAGATATAAAATCGATATTTTTTTGAAAATAGCCTACTATGATCAAAACCAAAAATGCTTCAAATTGCATTTTAAAACATATCTAGGTATTATAAATGATAAAGAATGCTAATATAGATATAAAATCGATATTTTTTTGAAAATAGCCTACTATGATCAAAACCAAAAATGCTTTAAATTGCATTTTAAAACATATCTAGGTAATATAAATGATAAAGAATGCTAATATAGATATTAAATCGATATTTTTTTTGAACAAAGCCTACTATGATCCAAAACCAAAAATGCTTTAAATTGCATTTTAAATTATGTCTAGGTGTTTTAAATGATAAAGAATGCTAATATAGATATAAAATCAATTTTTTTTTGAAAATAGCCTACTATGATCGAAACCAAAAATGCTTTAAATTGCATTTTAAAACATATCTAGGTCTTATAAATGACAAAGAATGCTAATATAGATATAAAATTGATATTTTTTTTTGAAAATAGCCTACTATGATCGAAACCAAAAATGCTTTAAATTGTATTTTAAATTATATCTAGGTATTATAAATGATAAAGAATGTTTATATAGATATAAAATCGATATTTTTTTTTGAAAATAGCCTACTATGATCGAAACCAAAAATGCTTTAAATTGTATTTTAAATTATATCTAGGTATTATAAATGATAAAGAATGTTTATATAGATATAAAATCGATATTTTTTTGAAAATAGCCTACTATGATTAAAACCAAAAATGCTTTAAATTGCATTTTTAAACATATCTAGGTATTTTAAATGATAAATAATGCTAATATAGATATAAATTCAATTTTTTTTTGAAAATAGCCTACTATGATTAAAACCAAAAATGCTTCAAATTGCATTTTAAAACATATCTAGGTATTTTAAATGATAAATAATGCTAATATAGATATAAAATCAATTTTTTTTTGAAAATAGCCTACTATGATTAAAACCAAAAATGCTTCAAATTGCATTTTAAAACATATCTAGGTATTTTAAATGATAAATAATGCTAATATTGATATAAAATCAATTTTTTTTTTTGAAAATAGCCTACTATGATTAAAACCAAAAATGCTTTAAATTGCATTTTAAAACATATCTAGGTATTTTAAATGATAAATAATGCTAATATAGATATAAAATCAATTTTTTTTTGAAAATAGCCTACTATGATTAAAACCAAAAATGCTTTAAATTGCATTTTAAAACATATCTAGGTATTTTAAATGATAAATAATGCTAATATAGATATAAAATCAATTTTTTTTTGAAAATAGCCTACTATGATTAAAACCAAAAATGCTTCAAATTGCATTTTAAAACATATCTAGGTATTATAAATGATAAAGAATGCTAATATAGATATTAAATCGATATTTTTTTTTGAACAAAGCCTACTATGATCCAAAACCAAAAATGCTTTAAATTGCATTTTAAATTATATCTAGGTATTTTAAATGATAAAGAATGCTAATATAGATATAAAATCAATTTTTTTTTTGAAAATAGCCTACTATGATTAAAACCAAAAATGCTTTAAATTGCATTTTAAAACATATCTAGGTATTTTAAATGATAAAGAATGCTAATATAGATATTAAATCAATTTTTTTTTGAAAATAGCCTGCTATGATCGAAACAAAAAATGCTTTAAATTGTATTTTAAAACATATCTAGGTATTATAAATGATAAATAATGCTAATATAGATATAAAACCAATTTTTGAAAATAGCCTACTATGATCCAAAACCAAAAATGCTTTAAATTGCATTTTAAATTATATCTAGGTATTATAAGTGATAAAGAATGCTAATATAGATATTAAATCGATATTTTTTTGAAAATAGCCTAGTATGATCAAAACCAAAAATGCTTTAAATTGCATTTTAAATTATATCTAGGTATTATAAGTGATAAAGAATGCTAATATAGATATTAAATCGATATTTTTTGAAAATAGCTTAGTATGATCAAAACCAAAAATGCTTTAAATTGCATTTTAAAACATATCTAGGTATTATAAATGATAAAGAATGCTAATATAGATATAAAATCGATATTTTTTTGAAAATAGCCTGGTATGATCAAAACCAAAAATGCTTTAAATTGCATTTTAAAACATATCTAGGTCTTATAAATGATAAAGAATGCTAATATAGATATAAGATCGATATTTTTTTGAAAATAGCTTGCTATGATCGAAACCAAAAATGCTTTAAATTGCATTTTAAAACACATCAAGGTATTATAAATGATAAAGAATGCTAATATAGATATAAAATCGATATTTTTTTGAAAATAGCCTACTATGATCGAAACCAAAAATGCTTTAAACTGCATTTTAAAACATATCTAGGTATTATAAATGATAAAGAATGCTAATATAGATATTAAATCAATTTTTTTTTGAAAATAGCCTGCTATGATCGAAACAAAAAATGCTTTAAATTGTATTTTAAAACATATCTAGGTATTATAAATGATAAATAATGCTAATATAGATATAAAACCAATTTTTTTGAAAATAGCCTACTATGATCAAAACCAAAAATGCTTCAAATTGCATTTTAAAACATATCTAGGTATTATAAATGATAAAGAATGCTAATATAGATATAAAATCAATTTTTTTTTGAAAATAGCCTACTATGATCGAAACCAAAAATGCTTTAAACTGCATTTTAAAACATATCTAGGTATTTTAAATGATAAAGAATGCTAATATAGATATTAAATCAATTTTTTTTTGAAAATAGCCTGCTATGATCGAAACAAAAAATGCTTTAAATTGTATTTTAAAACATATCTAGGTATTATAAATGATAAATAATGCTAATATAGATATAAAACCAATTTTTGAAAATAGCCTACTATGATCCAAAACCAAAAATGCTTTAAATTGCATTTTAAATTATATCTAGTTATTATAAGTGATAAAGAATGCTAATATAGATATTAAATCGATATTTTTTTGAAAATAGCCTAGTATGATCAAAACCAAAAATGCTTTAAATTGCATTTTAAATTATATCTAGGTATTATAAGTGATAAAGAATGCTAATATAGATATAAAATCGATATTTTTTTGAAAATAGCCTGGTATGATCAAAACCAAAAATGCTTTAAATTGCATTTTAAAACATATCTAGGTCTTATAAATGATAAAGAATGCTAATATAGATATAAGATCGATATTTTTTTGAAAATAGCTTGCTATGATCGAAACCAAAAATGCTTTAAATTGCATTTTAAAACACATCAAGGTATTATAAATGATAGCCTACTATGATCGAAACCAAAAATGCTTTAAACTGCATTTTAAAACATATCTAGGTATTATAAATGATAAAGAATGCTAATATAGATATAAAATCGATATTTTTTTGAAAATAGCTTGCTATGATCGAAATCAAAAATGCTTTAAATTGCATTTTAAAACATATCTAGGTATTATAAATGATAAAGATTGCTAATATAGATTTAAAATCTATTCATATTCACACAAAATTTTCAATTTTTGTGAATATATTTTTTTTTTTGAAAATAGCCTACTATGATCTTAAACTTTATGGGAAGTGTGGTATTTCTTATTTTGGATTATAAAAGAGTGAACTATGCCTGAAATTTCTGTACACTTTAAACTTTTACTTTTCATTAAGAAGTATTAATTATTCAATTTTCTAGCCAAATCTAGAAGATTAACTTCAATTTTTGCTATAATTCTCAAACTAATGAAGATATAAGAATTCTTAGTATATGTTAATTTAAGTAGCAAAGTACTCTAATAAGATCACACTTTAGATCTCTTAATTAACCTTAAGCGTCTGGAGATATTTCCGAAAAACTGAAGTGGATAATCCGAAATCGAGGATAATCCACTTTAGTGAAACAGGTCGTATATGCCTTAATTATCATGACTTTGTGAATCTCATTCAATAAAATTAATAATTAATCAAGATAAAGTTGAATAAAAGGTATATTCAGGCTGGTGTCAAAATAGGATTCAAGATGTATCAAGAATGCACCTAAAGAAATTCATGTAACAAAAAAGCGTGTAATTAAATCTATCTATCTCAACATTCTACAATATTACAAGTGCAACGCTCAAATATACTGTTAATTATAGCATGTAAAAGAAACCAATAGAAAAAAATACATAAGTTCGGCTTGCTTTAAGCCTGCTTTAAATTACCTTTTGAACTTTTCTGAATCCTGGAGAGTAAAATTTAAATTTTAAAACTTTTTGATATTTATTTTTAAAAGCACACGCAAAGGATCAAGAAAACAAAATGAGAAATGAAACAACAGAGAGAATTTGACAGGTTACTTTTCTCTTCTCTCATTCATGTTTCTCCAACAGCATACATACCTGTTTCTTTACTGTCCAATTTTTTCCAAAAGGAATAAATGTATCCCCTTCTTTAAAAACATCTCAGTGTGTATTTCATCGTTGTTGCGAAAGGATCAAAAAGTGAACAGATATTTCATCATGATCTCAGAATCATACAATTCGCAGTTTTACTATAATTGCTCTAATATTATTTTAAATAAAAAAATAAATCTATCCTTTCCGGACGAAAATTTGTCTCCAAATAATTTTAACATAGAATCACCATTAGAATTTCAAATAAAACCATATAAATCATCTTCAAATAATGGAAACGAATTATCATTAACAAACATTTCTGATGGATGGCAAACACCGAATTCAATTAGTGATAGCTACCGATCATCAAGTCCTGAATTTATATCGCTGTCAACATCTAAATACCTTCCAGTAAATTTTAAAATTCAGAATCATCAAAATAGTTATTCACAGGCATCATCAGTAATTTATCAACCACAACATATTCCAATAAAAACAGAATGTCAAAGTGATACAGATGAAAGTGTTTCTGATCAAGATATATCACCAGTGATAATCCACATGACATCGAAAAATGAATCAAAGGCACAAAGAAAGCGAAAAACTAAGCAAATTGCACCAATAGTTAAAAAGAAAAGACGGTTGGCTGCAAATGCAAGAGAAAGACGACGCATGCAAAATTTAAATGAAGCATTTGACAGATTAAGGCAATACTTACCATCACTTGGAAACGATCGTCAATTATCTAAACATGAAACATTACAAATGGCACAAACGTATATTTCTGCACTTTGTGACTTACTTGAGTAATATTAAATTAAATCTTAAGGAGTCTTACGTAAGAATAAGCAAAATATAATTTATGTACTACAAAACACTATACTTTTAATGAACGCATAATTCAACTATTTATTAGAAATCGAAATAATAAATTAAAAATACCTTAAAGCTTTCATACTTTAAATTTTTTATTTTAGTTTCAGATTTTTTTAAATCATAAAACAACTGTTTTGAAAAATCATGTTCCTTATTTTAACCGTTAGTATCCTCATTATCACGTTAGAGTTTCACAAAATCAATTTCATTCCATCCCGTTACATCCTTTTAATTTTATGTTAAGCTTCCTTCCTTTGCATTAAAAAGTAACTGTAACATAATAATAATAATATAAATACATATACTTCAAAACAACAAAAAAAAATTAAGCAACACGGAAACACATCAACTTGACGAAATAAGCGAAATTTTAGACATTTTTCAATGCCATTAAAAACAGCAAAAAACTTCATAATAATCTTAATGGCGCAAAAATTATCACCCAAGTTGTTGATTATGGAATTTCATAAAACAAAAAGTCATTTTAACAAATTGAGAAAATTAGAATGGGTTAGAACCCTTCCTGCCCATTTACTACCAAAACTGAACTGTATTGATAATAAATTTTAGTATATAAACTACCACGTTTTTCTTAATTTATTGTCACTAAAATCAATGACTCAGAAATGCTTCGTTTAATTTCTTCTCATATTTCATACAAGTTTAATGCAAAAAGGAGATAGGAAAGCAAAACGTAAAAAGAGTGCAGTCAAAGGTGCAACATAATATTCTTGATTATACTAAATGATGTCGTTTATGAAAAACGAACACCCTGACAATTTGAATTTTTTAAAGACCTGGTTAGAATATATTGTTCCTTTTTATATGATTTTTTTTTATTTCATCGGCCACACAAATGACAAATTTGGCTTTGTTATTAATTTGCTCTTTTATTAAAGTTTTTTCTCATAATATAAAGATGTTATATTTATAGCTACAGAGAACGGAAGTCAAAAAAAGCATACACTTTTAAAAGAAGAAGATGTTCATATGAGGATGTAATTTTTTTTAATTTTAAATTTCGTTCTTAATTTTCCTGACTAGTTAAAAAAATTCTTTACTTCAGTTTCAAAAGTTGTTAAATTGTAAATACTGAACTCTGAATATCGCAATTCACACAATTTAGCATGATTTCTTATGTCGTTTATGTTATCTCTACAATAAAAACACGCTTCCAAATTATTTTTCATAGATGATTCGGCGTTTTTCTTGGAGGTTAAGCATTGGTTTAAGAACTTTTCTGCATCCGGAATTTCATTTATACGTCCCATGATACATTTGACAAATGATGAATCCTTTGTACAATCGCTCAATTTGTCTTCAAATGTTGTATTTGTCTTTAGAGTTTCCATCACACAATTTCTAAATTGTTTTTCATATTTGTTTTTTTCGTTGTTATCATCAGCAATACATATATCATTCATTTTATTCAGAGCTTTTTGATTTCTCACAGAACAACGATTACATATATTCCGATTATTTCTTAAATCAACTTGCTTTAATTTGTCAAGGCTCTTGAAGTTGATATTTATTTTACTCAGACTATTATTTTTTAGGTTAATAAATTCCAATTCATGATTTCCAGTGAAAATATCATCAAGTATTTCGAGTTTATTATTTTGTGCATTCAATGCTCTTAGCATCTTTAACTTTATCAACAAAACCGGATCAATTTTCTTTATTTGATTCCCATTGATAAATAAAATTGTTAAATTTTTCAAATCCTCAAATGTGTCTGAAAGTATTTCGGTGAGCTTATTTTCTGCCAAATTTAATGTACTTAAAGAACTCATGTCATTAAAATCTGAACGTCTTACAATTTTCAAGCCAATTAAATTTACAATTAGTTCCTTAAGTTGCTTAAAATGATGTCCAATCTTCTGAGGAAGTGCTTCTATTTGATAATCACGGTTAAAAATAAGTATAGGTGCATCCTCCAATTCCTTTTGTTTTAATGTTTTACTCGATACTTTTTCAATAACTACCGTCGTGTTGACAGATATATAGTTTGAAGCCTGACATTTCACATCCGAAGCATACTTCCCACAATACAATTCAATATTTTGTGATTTGATGACCCTTATTAAACAAATCAAAAGAACGATAGTGATAAGAAAAAAAATTAAATTCTTATGTCCCATTTGAATTCTTCGAATTACACTCTTTAACTGTAAGAGAATAAAAGTTTTCTATATGTTATATACAAATCATAATTGAGAAGAATAGGAAGAATGAGAGATTTTGATTGGTGAGCAAATCCACGAGTAAAATTATCAGGTCAAATATTAAGGAAATAATTTGAAATTATTTAGAGGACTCTAATAATAAAAATGAAATACAATATTGCTAATGCTTATTTTGGGGGGCTTTAGAAATCAATGAAATCGCAACATTTATATGCAAAGATTACAAAAAAGTATAGATATATATTATATTTTTAGATGTGTCTTAACTTGAGCTTCAAAGATATGAAATCAAATTTTAATTATTCTATCTAGCAGAGATAGAACTCGAGAAAAGTTTAGTCGACTCGAAAAAACCCAATCTAGGATTGAAACCTTAGAAATTTGATGGGGAAACAACATACTTTATCATTCATTCGGTTCTAGGGTTTGCCCACATGCGCATCCATGCAAATATCACATGCGAATGCATGCGCATGTACTGCATGTAAATTTATTAAAACAAATTTTACAAAAATAATTTTTTTATTTAATTATATTCCTTTTATCATATTTATCAAAAATTTCATAAAAAAATATGATAAAAATGTTGAAATTCGCTTCAAAACTGCTTAAAAAAGACAGGTTCCTACATCAGAACACTTCAAATTTGACCTTCTTCTCACAAGATTTGGTGTCAAATTGATCAAAAGTGTCCAAATAATCATTATTAAGACATATTGAAACGAATCCAGCAAAAACTAGAATTTTCAATTTTTTTTCTCAGATATACATGCGCATGCATGCACATACATGCGCATGTTTTTGCATGTGCATGCATGCGCATGTCAATTTGGCAAACCCTATTCGGTTCTAAATATTATCAAATTTAGCACCAAAGTGTTAAAAGTGAGTTACTCGATTTGTATTATCTCGATAATTTTAACCTTGATTGTTTTATATTTTATTTAAAACTTTTCTTAATGAAGTTTTTCAACACAACAAAAACAGTTATTACTCCAAATTTTAGGTTCAATATTTTAAAAGCTGTTATTAAACTATCCAAAATGCAAATATTGCAAGAAATTAATGTCTTAATCTTCTCGTAGTTTTTTGTTTCTTTAGTTTCACCACGAGTAAACCCTTTTCATTTGATTGATGGCTGACTACTCACTCAGTTTTACACAACATTTCTATAAGATTAAGACTTTTTGTGAAATATTATGACCGTTTTCTGACGTTCAAAAACAAACTAATAATTAAATTTTACGATCAAAAGTAATTTATGATAAATGTTTATAATTATGAGGGTTATAGATTCTTTAAAAATAGTTTTTCTTTTATTTTTTTCTATCATTCTGGTATTAAAATAAAAATGATATAAAAAGTACTTTGTATAAACTTTTGTGATACAGCCCAAAAAAGAATTCTACCGCTTACTAACTTTTCACAAGCAAAAAGTCTTTAAAAAAGAATGAAAAATCGATTATGTGCAAAAATGTTCACAAATTTGACGCCAATTCATTTTATCATGATGATGTCGGGTATTAAAAAATAATAACTTAATCACCAATTTCATTAATCTTCTGGTCGTGTTTTATTGGTTTTTTCTAAATTGCTTCTCAATTTCCTTTCTCGCCTCTTTTGAACATTCGCATCTTGTTCCTCTTTTTTTGCGATTTTTCATATAATACATTTGTGATAATTTTTTTTCGACAGACTGCAAAATGTTATTAAAAATTAAAGGTAGAAATTAATTGGGTCACAAACGTAGGTCAAATTTGGAAAGAGGAAGTGTATGCATAGTATTTTTCTCTTCTTTTTTGGTTTATCAACCTTTTATCGTAACCCCCTCTCATCTAAAATTATGCATCATTATTCAGTATGTAATGAATCATTGTCCACAATTAAATAACTATACATCCTCCATAATTCTGCACATATATATTTTTTTGAATTGATTGCAAAATAAATATTTACATTTTACTCTGCAATTGTATTGAAATTAATTTCCATCAATTGAAATATGGAAATATACTCGAATATGAAAAATCATCGGCAAATATGAGAATCAAACTGAGTTATACAAAATGAGAAAGTAAATTGACTCATTTTGTGTACACAACTTTTCGACCCTTTTCATCATTTGTCTATTTGCGAAGATAAAATCATTTTGACAATAATTCACTTCTGTATAGTCCTTCCATATCATCATTGCCTCTGTTTGCTTGCATTCCCATTATTGTCTTAAACAAATTGACATAAAAATTTTCAGCGCTCTGCAGGTAAGTTTATAAATATTTATTGCTTTACATATATTCTATTGATAAAATCAACAGTATCATTTTTTATCTCATGGTTCTCGTTTGACTTTTTATATCTCGATTAAAAGGCGGATATTTAAAACAATTTAAAAAATCTATATAATATATAACAAGAAAAACTAAATAATAATCGAAGCCTAAAACTGTTATGACTTCGATTTCAAAATATTCATTTTGTGATTTATGTTTTTATTTTTTTACAAATTTCCACAAATTTCTTTCTTTTCTACCTGATTAAAAATATTTTATAAAGGATAAATGTTTTATCGTTTCGGCACGAATAGGATGAAAAATTTATAAATACAGCACAGTCCTCCGATAAAATTTAATATAAAAAGATATTTCAATCAAGCTTGATCCTTTCCAAATTTTGTAATAAGAGTTTAAAAATTTTAATAGACATTTTGAAATTTATTTTTTATCACGGAGTGTCTGTAAAAGGGTGGTCTATTCAGTGAATTATTAAAAAAAATCTATGGAAAGAAACCACAAAATATAAGTTAGTAAAGAAAAGAAATCGTAAGGACATTCGGAAAAGACAAAGGAAAAAGAATAAAGAAAAACCCGAAAAACCGATGATAGTAAATTATCCTTGTTGATTCAGCATTTTTTTTTGTCCGAAATTGACTTTGAAATGGACACAGTTTCCTTAAACTTTATAATTCAAGTCATTGATAAAAATCTTCTTCCTCTTTCTTTCATCAATATTTTGCAATGAATCAAAAAACCTCCGAATAAAATATTCTCATGGTATTTTAACATTCGACTGACTTTCCTGTTACTTGCTTTGTATCTTCTTTTGAAAATTTAACAAAATGAGCATATTAATTTCCGTTTTCTTTAACAGCAAATCTGATAAAAAGCAACTTTTTTTTTAATTGAATGAGCTTACAATATTACATTTTATCATTACAGTAACTTTAATAATGGGAAGAACAAAACTTACCTAGAATTAAAAGCATTTCAAATTTTAAAAATGTAATTCAGGGTAGTCCGAAAAATTAAGTTTTTAAATTTCAAAAACTATTAGCACAGTTGGATAGTTTTGTTATAATTTAAACAATGTATTTAGAATCTTCACTTTTTCTTGTTTCTTTTAAAAGTTATATTTTTTAATTATCGGACATCAGCTATTTATTCTATTTTCTATTCTTCTATTTTTGAAATTTTAATAGTTTTAAAGTTAATTTTTTTTTAAAAAAAACTTGTTTCTTACTTATTTGGAAAATTTTGTGCTGACTTTTATTTTCACGGAAACTCAAGGCTTGAAAAACAACCCCATCCTGGCTACGCCACTGATTAATACTTTTCTGTACATCAAATAATTGTAATGTATGGTTTTTCCATCTTAAAAATTAAGTTGATTAAAAAGACTGACAACTTCTTCCTTCATCATTCTTATGTGTTTAAAAAAATTGGGTTTTAAAAGTTTTTAACATTTTAGAAATGGTCAGAACATATGGCCAAATAAGCACACGTGCGTAAATTGCTATGTATTAATGTCAGCAACTGTTCAATTTTACAAAAACTATCAGAAAGTTGCTGCAAGTGCAAGATATTTTTTAATCTACAATTATTTAAGGATGCCTTTTAAGTAGACAAACGATTAAGTATTAGAATATAACATAAGATTTTTTATGAAAATGCTTACGATCGCACATTAATATAAACTTAATAAATTATAACCACATATTTTTATAAAATTTATAGTTCTAAGAATTTGTTGGCAGTTTTATCATATTTTTTTGTAAATCTTTTTAAAAAGAAGAAACCTCACAGGAAGAAATGGAAATCAATAAAATGAATTAATAATATTTTTTCTCTAATTTGGATCATGAATCGGAATCAGCTAAAACATTTCATATGAAAATTCAGAAGCGTTACAAATTTGATCGATGAAATGAAATCAATACTCAATAGATAAATCTATTGAGAACTTGGTGGAAATAAGCCAAATCGAAAATTTTATTGAAAACAAAACATCAAAAGTTATTTGCACAGTTGGATGATTCTTTTATATTGCTTTTAAATATTTTTTGTATCCTTAGTATACATTACACTTTTCAACCTTTTTAAAATTTATTTAAGCTTACAATAGAATTTATTATTGAAATTAACATTCATTATCATTTTTCCAAAAAGTTACATTCCAAATTCAATTGACAACAATTATATTTTTTAATTTTTTTAAAGAATGATTGTGATTGGTTCATGAGTGGCACGCGCACTCTTTAAGGGGAAATTTTTATGAATTCAACACTATTCAACATATAATAATAACAAAATGTTAAAGAAGCGAAGCGTAACGTAAAGAAAAATCGTGAACAGGTATTTTATGTTGGCTTTTCGCTTTTCTCCTTCTCTTTCAAATTTTTTTTTATAGATTAAAATTTTACCTGTCTGTAAAGTGGGGGTTCTTGTTGCCGATTTAGTAGATCTGAAGATCTAAAAGCAGAAATTCTTCTTTAGAAAAATAAAATCGAGTTATTATAAAGCCCTATGGAAAGATGAATTGAGGTCCATCCATATAAAGAATAAACATAGTGCAACTCAACAGGGATTTAGTTTCTATCAGAACGCTGCTGTAAAAGGATCATTGTGAATCAAGTTTAAATATTTTTTATATTAAAATGATTACTGATTATTATCATACACAGTATTTTAATA